AGCAGCTTGAACTCCTGCCTCCATCACCATAGGCTCTGGCTCAAATGCTATTTCATTAAATTCTTCTGTATCTGCCAATTCCTTTCGATACAGTGACTCAGTATATTCCTTCCATCTTCTTTTGATACCTCTTGGATCATTTAAAATTCTGCCTAAAGCATCCTTGATTGTAGCAACTCGAGGTTTGAATTTGTTCTTCAGCTCTTTGAGCTTAAGAAATTCTGAACGATTTCGGCCCTTTTGATTTTCCGACTCTAGCTCCTCGCACATTTCATTGTAGTATTTTGCTTTGTCATTCCGTGCTGCCTTTTGGAATCTTCTGTTCAGCTCTGTAGTGTCTTGGATTCTTCCTTGTGCTTTAGCTTCTCTACATTCCAGTGCAATTTTCAGAGTTTCTTCTGACATCCATTTTGGTCTTTTCTTCCTCTGGAATGTATACACCCAAAAAATACTACTCCAGAAACTGACAGAATATCACTGGGATGTTTCAGAAGACAAGATGTAGTCCTGGTTATGCTCACTTGACTATGCCAAGAAATTGGAAAGTCCTGGCCACCTGACTGGAAGGGATCTATATTTGTATCCATTTTTTTAAAAAAGTGACCCAAGAGTATGGATTATCAAAAAAATATCATTAATATCACATGTAAGTAAAATCTTCTTAAGATTATTTTAAAACAGTTGGAACACTGGCAGGGAACTTTCACAAATTCAACCTCCATTTAGACAAGACCATGGAAGAAAGGATGTTGTCCTGATGTTTGAAGGATCTTGCCTGAAAGCAAAGACTACCAGAAAAAGTATTTATGCATTATTGACTAGGCAAAGACATTTGACTGTGTGGATCATAACAGAGTATGGCTAACACTGAAGAGAATGCAAATCCCAGGGCACTTAATTGTGCTCATGTGAAACACAGGTCAAGAGTCAGTTGTCTGAACCGAACAAGGAAACGCTGCATGGTTTACTATTAGAAAAGATATTAGAATTGCATCCTTTCTCCATTCTTGTTTAGTCTATACACTGGGGGAAAAAATAATTCAAGAAGAGGGAATATCTGAAGAAGAATGTGGCATCAATATTGGAAGAAAATTCATCAGCCTACTTTATGCAGATGACACAACCTTGCTTGTAGCATATGAAGAGGGTTGGAAACATTTGCTGCAAAAAAGGGCAAAGACTACAAACTTCAGTATAGATTAAATCTTAAAATTAAGAAAACAAAAATCCTCATCACTGGTCTAATAGGCAACACCATGACGGATGGAGAAAAGGTGACCTTGTCAAGGATGTACTTTTACTTAGATCCACAATCATCACCCATGGTAGCAGCCATGATGAAACAAAAAGTTGTGTTGCACTGGGAAATATTCTGTCAAGGACCTCTCCAAAATTCCAAAGAACAAGAATGTCAGTTTAAATGTGAAGCTACTCCTCATCCAATCCATAACCTTTTTTTAGTCACCTCCTATGAATCTGAAAATTGCACAGTGAATAAGAATTTATCTCCTTGGTAATATTTGAGTTGTTGTTGTGTTGTTGTTATGTGCCATCGAGTCGCTTGTGACTCACAGCGAACCTATGTACAACAGCCCTAA